AATAAAAACCACTTATCGCCGAGCGCAATTCTTAGCATATGCTCAGATAGTATTTTTTATGTAAGTAAACCTCTATGTCAGTCTCTGAAAATATCACATGCACAAGAGCGTACAACTCTCTCGGATGTAGCTTTCCCCTATTAGGATCGTACACTGGCAACGAGAGAGAGGTCACACCTCTCTCAACCAGGAAATCCCTAAGTCGAGTCAAGGCCAACACCAAGCTCTCCGGATTCACGTGTTGCCTATCAGTAGCTTTCGTAACCAAAAAACACAAATATTTCCCTGGTATCTGTGATGCAACAGGGGGCAACGCTATCACTCCTCCTACACCCGGCCTCTGTTTCCACAAAAACTCGATATTCTTGTACTCCCTTTTAAAGTCGGCCGCTAGTGCTGTTTTGAAGCTTACGTCCGCAGTTATCGCTATGGCGCATGTGCGTTCCGTGAGTATGAAATCGCTGTCCGTTATCACGATATTGTTCGAATAATGGTTCGGGAGATCAAAATACGATTCAAAGATTCGTCCAAAAGGTGGTTCCTTAGCATTCTCGCCCTCTGTCTCTAGTTCTCCGGTTTCCCTTGCCGATTTTAATTTTTTTATCATGAGATTTTCGGTGTGGGTGAGTCCTACCCCCACTCCCCGGACAAAAATATCCATCGACGTCCCCGTCGATCGCCCAAAGTCTAGGAGACCGAGGTTGGATTGTGGAACACGTAGAGGACCATCTGGGGCGACCCAGTTGGACTCGGTATTGTCATGACTGATGTATCTGACGCCATCTCTGTCGACGTCCTGAATCGTCAGGATCGTCTCTTTTGGATCTGTCGGCAGATCGTGGAGCCATTCGAGCACGCGCAAGTTCGTTAGTTCTTGCTCATGAGTCTGTTCCGCTTCTGGTTCGAACTCCACTTCCGGTTCTGATCGATCGTCGATCCAATCTTGATCCATATCGTTCACAAGGTCGATTTCTTTTAGGATTGCTACTTCGTCCAGCCCCACCAGCGAGTTTATGACATCACTCACTACTATCCGGTCTACAACGAAGTCCTCGCCATACGGATTGTATTTCTTCTGGTTTTTTCCCCTCTTACTTTGGCGTGTCTCCATAGTGAGCGGAAAGTCAGGCTGTATTCCTTTGTCAATTTCGGTTTGTTCTGGGCAATCCCAGTCTTCTTCGGCATATGGTAGAGTTTCATCGTCCACCTCTACTCGCTCAGTCAACTCGAGATCCAGTGGTAGATCACAATTGTCCACCATCTCATTCCCGTCGTTCTTGTCGCGAGTACCCCTTTCATTCACTTCACAAGCAGGATCCACTATTAAATAGTCTCCCTCTTGCATGTCCGCTGGGATGCACCAATCCTCGGACGAGGCGTTGTGTGGTTTGATATTCTCGTAATGAGCCGCTCTTCCGGTGCTCAGCCGATAAAAACGACCTCCTTGATGCACCTCTGTTATCTGAAATGGACCACGCCATTTCTTTAATAGTTTCTTGGTTCCTTTTGGTGGAACCACTTCCTGGAACACCCAGACGTAATCGCCAACTGAGTAGGCTTTTGCATCGGCTGTTCTTTTATCAAACCTCCTTTTTTGTCTAATTTGCGCCTGTTGCGTATTCCTCCTGCATAAGTCATTGAGGTCCTGTTGTCTTCTAATAACGTCCCGCACGTACGTTTGCGGTGCTGTCCTCTTCCCTTCATATTCAGGGTAGAAGAACGTTAACGGTACCAAAATTATCCCGATCGGATAACTAGTCTTTGAGAAATCGCCAAAAACGCGTTCGTCAAAATGGCCTTTTTCACCACCTGTGTAGGATCTGAAAGACTTTTTTCGCAATTCCGGTCGAAAGTGCCTAAAAATACTTGAAATGAGCGTAGTAGCCCTGTACGGCACTGGAATAATGCAAAAAACCGGACCAAAATTGGTTTGGAAACAAAAATTTGGCCAAAAACTATCAAATTTGGACCCTCCGATTCCTTCCTTTTCCAAACCTTAAGTCGTTAGCTCTATCCACGGAGCTACTCGGAGGGTTACCCAAAAATTTCTCTAGTAACCGAGCACGTTATGCTAGCACGCTCCTAACGCAAAAAATTTTATTGCTCTAACTCTAAAAACTCAAAAAATCGATCCCCAAAACAGATTGACAAAATACAAAAAATTATCAAAATTTTGGTCGAAAAATTCTCGTTTTCCTAACTTCTACTGAATCTTTGCTCACGCGGTTTCTTTAATAAAGGGGATCGAACTACGTGGCTACTCTCTATATAAAAGCTTTTTGCCTATCGGAAAAGCTCGGATATCCGAAAATTTGGGGGTCTACAGTTTGGTCGAAAATTGGTAATTTTCGACAAAAAATGGGTGTTTCTTGGGTCTAAATAGGAGATAAGTAATATATAGTAAGGACAATAATCTATAAATAGTCGTTAATAAATAGTACTATACCCTCCTTTGCACCAAAATATTCGAATTAAGACCCTTAACTCGGAAATTTGTAATCGATGGAGGGTACAATCGGACCGCGCCAATCGTGCCCCCCACCACTTAAGTTTTAAGGAAATAGTACCCGAACGATACTAAAATTGCTTCAACGATACCCAACAGTCGTTGCGGATGTTGTCCTTGATGTCCCTGTTGAGTGTGGAACACGTTGATCAGCCTGCCACTCTACCCTCCGGTCACCGGCAAAATCACCATTAACGTGCTTAAACACTCAAATTACACTCGAGGGAGGGTACCCAACCCTTCACCAAAACACACAATCTCTCTATCAGAAACGATATAAATCAATCTGAAACAACAACAAATAGGAAGGTCAGATCACATCTCGTCCGGAAATAACATATAAACTGTCACTTTATGTTTTTTTACTGTTTTTGGTCTTTCTTGGATTTTTTACTGTTTTTTGTACTTTTTTTGTTTTTAAATAATTATTTTTGGCTTTTTCTTGGTTATACACTATTTTTTGTTTGGTTTTACGCTTTCTCTTTAATTGTTTTTGGTCCTGGGACCTCAGGACAAGCGGGCTCTAGATTTCCCACCTAACCCTCCGACCCCCGGAATTTTCGGTGTTAACTAAGTTAAAAAGCTAAATCGTACTAGACGGAGGGGTACGCACCTTCCCCCTAGTACGAAAACGGTCATTAAGGCCTCTAACTCGGGCATACGCCCGGAGCGGAGGGTACGTCGCTGAAACGCTTGCTGATCATAATGGTTTCATGCCTTTAACAGGCCCACCCAGGAGCGCCATAAAAACGTCTATGTAACATTCGCCCAAATATCACACAGCGACGGAGCGTAGAAAAAGTACCTATTGACGACTGGCAGGCGTCAGTTACCTTAATTCCACTCGTTTTTCACCGTCTCGACCTTGCCAGTTGATTTTCTGGTCCGTCTAGGGCAAAGTAAAAAGTTACTATTTTTAGGCCATCAGTCAAACGACTTTTGATCAGCTTTCGTTTGCATGCGAACACAACCACATAGCTGAGTCTCGGATCCTCAGACTACGTGATTGTCATTAAAAACACGGCTCGAACCACCTATTTCTATATGTTTTTGTGTGACAGTTTTATATTAAATCCATTGGAGATGGATTGACCTTTTCCTTTCTCTATCTACTCATGCTCTGAAATATTAAATAATAACGGTGTTTAATTCAGATCTAGGACATTACAGCAACTGTTATGGCTAGTTTACACAGCCCCTTCACATATAACAGTCTCTGGGGGACCAAGCCTCCGCTCCCGTGATTTTCTTGAGACAACACTCTTATCTCCTATATTTCGTGTCCCGGGAGGGTTCCGTGGTATTTCTCTTCCCCCCACTGAAGCCTCCGTCTCCACAAATATCCGTCACTAAGGTCCTTATCGTGTGTTATTGCCACGATAAGAGGCTCCGTAATTTTCTCGTCTCGGATACAACCGTTCGTCACAAAATATGGCGTCGTTCTGATTTTTCTCTATTTTATTCAAAATGGCCGTCTTTTTTCTATTTCTCAGAAATGTTCTCCTTCAAATCGAAATTTTAAAAATAAAAATTCCAGAACATTCTGACCCTCCGTCGCAACACTTTTCTGTTGGTAAGGCCTTTAGTCACTTTTTTTTCCGTCGCGGGAAGGTTATACTGTGTCATCCGGCGGAATGGCACATGTATCCAGCAACTATTGTTACTGTATTTAGGCGCTTTGGTCTGTATTGTAAAACTGTTTCAAACAGATCATGAAGCGTTGCGCCGCGGTAGGAGTGAATTGTTGATTTTGCTAGAGCTGGTTTGATTTATTTGGTCGTTGAAGTCCCAATAACTAATTTCTGTGAGAACTCAGAGATGCGTCTTGCCTGGAATCGCGGCATCAACCTGAAACACAGACAACTGGGGCGAGAAAGGAAGCTCTTTGGAGTGGTTTATGAATACTTTCACTTAGGGTTTAAAATTGCTGAGGCAAAAAAAAATAGGAGTAGTACAACCTGACGTCGATTTGGAGGTCGATTCACCAGCTCACTCCTTCTTGCGTCTAGTTATGCCAGGGAAACTTCATTCGCCTACGGCTGGGACGGCGAGATTTGGTAAGATAACCAGAAGAGGAAAGCCCAGCGCGCATATGATATGAAAACGCACAAGCGGTAAATTTGAACAAAGAAATCTATATAATACGTTTATCACAACAATTGGGCTAAACATGGCGATTAAAAGAAGAAAAATAAAAACCGACTGTTCGCTAAAAAATAAATTGGTTGTGTGGAAATTAAATTGGTTGTTTGATAATCTTTTTTATATGTATCTTATAGGTATTTTACTGATAATTATTCTCATGTGTAGCGCAAGTGGTGCGAAGCTCAGCTTCGCCTCTGTGTGTAAACATCATTTATCTTTAATTTTGTACCTCAATTTTATGAAACCTGATATACTTTTGCATATCTGAAAACTGTTTTATTTGGCAATTCAAGTTGTGTTTTTTCTTCTAAATTTTCCGTGGGCTTGATCGAACTTTTCCGTTCGTTTCAGGGATGACTATGGGACAAGAGAGTTCCAGTTCCAAGCACAATGATGATCAAGTACTTGCCAAATACTATTCACAACTTAAACCAAGAAAGGAACCATTCGCAGAGAAATATGAGTTAATCAACACAGTATTAGGCGAAGGAATAACAGGGAAAGTTTATAAATGCCGACTGAAGAGAACCCCGAACAGTGAAGTCTTCGCGCTCAAGGTATGTAATAAAACCTCAAGTCAAGTTAGTAGCAGTAGTAGTAGTCAAGCGAGTTTTTGGCTTTTGAAATCCATTTCTATCATTTTGTCTGGGTAAACTTCAGGGGTCTAGGACAACAGGCCGACGGGACTGCAAGCCGAAGTGACTTCAGGCCGAAATTTAAACTTTACAAGCACCTCGAATGTAAAACGTTGCTCTTAAAAATTTTGGGCAAGTTTAGAGCATAATAAGCTTTATTCATGACAATGAATCACTTGAGATTGGCATCTGTTAATAATATCAGCCGGTTTTTGAAATGCATAGCTTATAAACGACAAAGTCGCCTTCAGCCATGTTTTTTTTTCAATTTTCCTTAATATCATTCGGAGGCATAAATTTTTTGAAAAGGCCATAAACTACTGGAGAAATATCATGAAATTGAGAAATTTTTCATATAAGTTTTCATTTTCAAATTAATCATAGTTCATGACTTAATGAGAAAACTTTCGGCTTGAAGTCCCTTATTTTACAATTCGGCTTCAAGTCCCGTCGGCTTGATGTCCGGCACCCAAACTTCGGATGCATGTGGCAAATTGGTTGATGTCAATTTCATAATTATTTCGATTTGGATATGAAAGTAGAAGGTCGAGCGTTTCGGTGTATAAAGAGAGGAGGAGAAGTCTATGTTTCTGCAGTTTTTCCTTTTATGGCGTATTTGAGTTAATCATCAATTTCGTAGCTGTCTGCTGGACTTTTTCCATTAATTTAAGGTTAGATTTAGAGTTCAAATATATAATTTTTTGTTAAAAGTCTAACGGTGTTTGTAGGCTTTGCCGAAGGTTGGCAAAACAGTGAGAGAAGTTGTGTTGCACAAACGGATGCAAAGTGGATGTAAATACATTGTGCAAATCAAAGATGTCTTTGAAAATGTAGTCAGAGAGCGCGAAGTTTTGTTCATCGTGATGGAGCTGTAAGCCATTCGAAGAAGTAATTTATTTGAATTTTTCAAACCAATTCTTTAATTCTTGCTGTTTACTTTTAGAATGGAGGGTGGAGAACTATTTACTGCAATCTCAAGTCGCTACCCACACAAACCATTTTCAGAGAGAGGTGACACATCTCAAGTTTTACCTTTATGCTATTTGTTTGGGAGCCACATCAGCAGCTAAAAATGGTCGCTATTTTCAGAAGTCGCACAATTGGTTTTATGCGTATGTACAGCTGTTAAACATCTTCATGACAACGGAATAGCTCACAGAGACCTCAAGGTAATTTGTTTTAATACAAAAACTAGCAAAAGGTGGTACTTTTTTTTTAAATTGAGAAGACTTGAAAACATTTTAGCCAGAGAACCTTCTCTTTTCTTCATCAAACCCAGACGAAGCTATTATCAAGTTGACAGACTTCGGATTTGCTAAAGAAAGTGTGGACTCGCTAAAAACTCCCAACTTCACACCATACTATGGAGGTTTGTATGCGCTTATACCGTTTGTTAGCGTTTCCTTCGCTTTATTTATTGTTAAAACAAACGTGCTCGACTCTTTTTTGTTTTCCTCTGTAAAGTCTTGAGTTTGACCAGTTTTAAGTCTGTTTCTGTGACCTGCTTTACCGAGAAGCGAATAAGTGTCTATTTGCAGCTCCCGAGCTTATGATGGCAGTGAAGGATCCTCATCAAAAGTCTTGCTACTCCTCAAAATGCGATACATGGTCATTAGGCGTGATAATCTACATCATGTAAGTTGCTATTAATTTCAGTCATCTCGTGTCAAAAATTCCATATCAGATTCCATTATTACACTTGCGAACTTCAGTGGGCGTTAGTGTTATAGTACGACTATTCTTTTTTTCTTACCTAAGTCGTAAATATTGCTAGCGTATTTTACGGCTTTTTGATAGCATGTGCTTTGACTTTCGAAAAGTTGTCAGTTAACACAGTTAAAAAACACGATTCAATCAAATGAACCGAAAAAAACTTTGGTTCAAACAACATAATAATAGAAACTAGATTACAGAAATTTTCTAACTCAATATATCTCGCAATTTTTTTGAATGCCATAATTTATACGTAATGTGGCTTTATGCTTTCCAATGTGTTGCGTGCAAAGCCAGTGTGAATGCCTTAATTTTGTTATATTTCAAACTATTACTTGCAAAAATGGTGTCTATTAGTATTTGGTGCCACTTTTGCTGCATGACATAGGAAATTTATTAGCATATGTAGCTGCTTTATTTGTGACTATTGTTTGCCGATAGTTAAGCGTTCGTGACCGAGGGAAGGGCGTGAGACTCCAATTCTTGAGGTCGAAGGTTGGAAGCCAATACGTAACAAATTTTCACTAATCTGATGCTTATTACTATTTTTCTTGTTTCACTTTATAAAGGTGGTCTCGCTAATGTTTACGAAGTGCAGCTTGGCCTATGTGTTACACTTGCAAGAGCAGGTGTCTTGTAATCGGGAACTAGACTTTTTTCCCGTTAACAACTTTTCTTACACATTCTTCTTTTTTCACTTCTCTTCGAGTACTGGTGGCAGGTGTTCGAGTCTCTTCTCCGAGTCCTGGTTGGACTGTTTTTTTATTATCAATGAAAATGAAAACAAAAATCATTCCGAGAAAAATTGAATTGTCGGACTTCTGTTGGCTGGCTAAATTATCACAACATAATTTGCTAGTGCTGTAGACAACTTTCATTGTAGTTGCAAGTTTTTTTTCGGTTCATTTGGTGTCTGCTCAAAAATTGTCCGCTTAGTTGCTACATCACTGATTTTTTTTGCTTTAAGTAACTTTCATTGTAATTTCAAGCGTAATTGCTGTTCATTCCAGTTTCAAGGGTGACTTGAACGAATTAAAATAAAATCAAAGTTTTTTTTGGTTCAACTGGTGTCTGCTCAAATTTGTTCGGCTTAGTTGCCACGTCATTGATTTTTCTTATGCTGTAAGCAACTTTCATTGTAGTTGCAAGTGTTGCGCATTATATTTTAAGGTGGGACTTTAAACTTAAAAGTTTTCCCTCTTAAAATCATATTTTTTTCAGGCTCAACTTGTGTCTGCTCAAGAAGTTAAAGTAGGTTTGCTTATTTAAAATTCAAATGGCTAGTAGCTTTGCCTAGAATGCACTTATATGGAGACAAACGTAATTATAACTTTTGGTGGACCTTGTTGTTTTTTTTAAAACTTTTTTCGACTATATTATGTTAGCGATGTATCGCTAGTGATGCGAAGCTCGGCTTCGCCTCTGTGTATACTATGATCTGAGAACCCCTGCAGTGTTCTTTAAAGTATCATTCCGCATAACTTTTGATCTCAGAAATTTCGCGATTTAATTATTTGTTGCATGATGTTTAAAGTTTCGAATTAACTTTAAACAACTTCATTGTTGCATGAAGTTTCGAATTATTTGTCTGCTCAAAAAGTTGAAGTAGGTTTGCTTATTTAAAATTCAAATGGCTAGTAGCTTTTTCTAGAATGCACTTCTATCGAGACAAACGTAATTATAACTTTTGGTGGACCTTGTTATTTTCAACTTTTTTCGACTATATTATGTTAGCGATGTATCGCTAGTGATGCGAAGCTCGGCTTCGCCTCTGTGTATACTATGATCTGAGAACCCCTGCAGTGTTCTATAAAGTATGATTTCTCGTAACTTTTGATCTCAGAAATTTCGCTATTTAATTATTTGTTGCATGATGTTTAAAGTTCCGAATTAACGTTTAGTCGATAATTGATAAATATAAATTTTTACCCGTACTGTTATGATTTAAAGTTTCAAGGTGAGCTTCATGTTGTAGTTTGAAGTTTTTAGTTTTGCTTTATGAAAGAAAGTGAATAGTTGCTTTTGGCCTTATTTTTTAGAACAGATGCTGTGTTCGCACCATTAGATTTGTTTTATCATGGATAAAAGGAGACTTTCATTTGAGATTTCATTCTTTAGGCTAAGTGGCTATCCTCCATTTTACAACTCTCAAGGACAAAGTGCTCTGACCCCTCAAATGATGCACAGGATCACAGAAGCTAACTACAAGTTTCCGAAAGAACACGGCTGGACATTTGTGTCTGACAAAGGTATATAAAAATAATTCAATAGATGGTTTCTGTGCAGCTATCATGCAAAGTAGAACATTTTTGATTTTCCTATCTGTTCATGCATGAAATGACTTTTAAAATGTAGATGAATGAAATGAATTTTCACTTGTTCAGGTTGTGTTAACTTTTCTTTATTTTTATGTCTTGTTTTTCACGCTCATTTTTTGTTTGGTGGTTTGGCTTTTAACTTTTTTGAAGCTTGCTTTTCATTCCAATAGGCATATAACACTCTGCAGTTACAAAATTGAAAAGGCGGGAAAATTGGAACTTGACTAAAAAACAATGTCAATTATTATTATTGTTATTAAATTGAAAATTTTGGAAGTTATTTGTGGAAGCTTGTAGAATGAAAATGGGTTATTGTTTTTTCACTTAACCGAACCTTAACCTCACTTAAGATTTTGTGGTCTAGAAAGACCACGAAAGTTTTTGTTATCATTCATTGAGATAAGTTGAATTTGTTACTTTTTCAGCCAAACAGCTGATAAGAAAACTCCTAGTGAACAATCCGGACAACCGTCTCTGCATCAACCAAACGCTAAAAGACCCATGGTTGACCAATTTCCACCTCGTGCCAGACTCGCCTCTGAATTCAGCAGGCCACGGCAAACTGTCCTGGCTAAATTGGACCGCTGTTTTGGTACGTCCTGAGAATTTTGTATTTGCGAATCCTTGTTCAAAAGCTAAAAAAATCATCAGTAGGTTTTTAACAAGACAATTACTTTTTTGCCCAGTTGGCGTATTGTTACGAAGAATTTTTTCTAACCTGTGTCGCAAATAAAAGTGCTCATAGAATAAGTACTTTAAAAGCATATATTGCTGCTTTTTTGGCTAGGGTTAGATCCTATTTGATAAAAAAACAGACTTAATGAAAATATATGGGTTTTGTTTTTGTTTGTTGTTTTTTTTGCGGCGCTTTGGAATGCTTTTGCACTTTTCGCAAAATTTTCAATTTTTCTCAAAACTACTGAACCAATTTTCAAAAAAAGGTACTAATGGAAAAAATGGCTGCTTTTCTATGTGCCTGCATATTTTGCTAGTCTCGTTTCATTTTTCCCGACGTTTTACGGCCTTCGAAACTTTGAGAGGGATTGTTGACCTATTTGGTTTGAGTTTTTTCATTTTCTCAAATATTAAATGCACAAATCTGAGATGAGGGTTTCAATCAAAAGAACAAGGTATGGAGATCTTTCCTTAGATATTCTCTAAATTCGGTAGAAAAAAGTTATGGCCTCAAAAAAGACCATTTTTTTGATATTTTGATAGTTTTTAAAACTCGAATTTTCTCATTAACTACCCTGCCAAATCGGAGATTAGGGGGTTCAACCGAAAAAAAACAATCAATTATGCTAATCATCTCTGCGTAAGTCTCCATGCCCTGCGTTTTGACAAAAATATGGCCTTAGAAAATGTCCAATTTTTCTCATTTTTTGAAATTGTTTTTTTTTTCAAACTAAGCTGCTGATTTTGAGGTTGATATCTCATTCAAATAGAAATGATGCTTATATTGTCCCTGCGCAATTATTTTTTGCCCCTTTTATTTATGGAAAAGCTGATATGGTCTTCTGAAAAATCCATTTTTTGAAATTTTTACCCTGTTTTAGATTTTTCATTTTTATTCTCAAAAACTACTAGGTAAATCTGATATCAAGGGTTCATTATAAAAATCAGTGAGTGGGCGTCTTCCCTGCATAATAAATAAACGTCAGAAGCCCCTCTTGAACATAATAAAAAAACGTCAGAAGCCAGAGTAATATATTTTTTTTAGAAAAAAATCATACATTTGCTTACGCCCATTTAAATTTCGTTAGCTTGGATTTGGCTTTCATAATTTCGTTAGCTTGGATTTGGCTTTTTTTAAGGTCCAGCTCTCATTGCTTTAACAAACGGAAGGCATATTGCTCCCTCGATTGGCAAAAAAGCAGATGGCCCAAAAAATTTGATGATTTTCTTAAGTTCAATAATGTTTGGCTTTTGATTTATTTTCTTCAGTTCGTTTTCTTTGTTTAAGGCAAACTTCACTATCGAACAGCGACAGTGTAAAGATCACGCAAAGGTTTCGAAAGTGTATTTTATTTTGACCGAGTTCCCAGTGGAATAAAAATTTTACGTCCACTTTCTTGATTTTGAGTTACTTTTATCGAAAGTGTGTAAATCATGAACTGTTCTTGAAATTTTAAGGCCATGTAATGATATACTTTGAAACTCAAAATCTGACGTTTTTTCACAAAACAAATCATTTGCTTGTTTCGTTGCGTTCCTTGACTCTTTTCCAGGTGTCTGTTGCTTATGTTCAATCATTCTGTTTATACAGATGCTATTTAGTTTTATCATATTTGGTTAACCCTCTAAGTACGACGTTCTAAAATTATTGAAGATAACATTTTCTTGCGTTTACATGCAAATTTTTCACCTATGCTAGTAAATCACGTTGAATTAATTAACAGTTTGCGAACTCTCTGTTGCTATATTTGTATGCAAAAAATAGTTTGAAAATGCGAAAAAAAAACATTGAGACTGAATTGCTTTTTGTGTATATCCAGCTAAATTAAAGGGATGCGTTGGTTTGGTTGAAAGGGCCTTGATATATTGATAGGGAGAAAAAATTTCAAGCGTAAATATAGCGAAACCTGCAGTTTTTTTAAAAGTATTTCGAGCTTTCTGTTTTCGCCGATGAAATGAACGATGTTGAATGCTGAAAACGTTACCGTATCAAAACATGAAAATTTTTTTAATGTCGATGTTTTATTTTGCCATTCAATCGATAATCACCAGAGGGATGTTATTGGCTCATGGAGATAATATTGAGGTCGAGTTTGCGGAGTCGAAGCTTTTCGAAAATTAAGCTCGAAGGCAAAATTAGTTAGGTCAACGTCAAAATCACTAAATCTTAGCCAATTTCCAAGTTTTTATAATTTCGGGTAATATGCTAGCATGATGCAATTTATTTTTGCGAAGTTTGGGTCTTCCATTTTATTTCAAAAATGGTCCTTTTTGGCTCTATTTGTTTCATCACAAGTAATGCAAGAACTATTTAATCAATTTTAAAGAATTTATCTAAAGTTAAGCTTTTACTTTTCTCCACAAAGTTTAAGGGAAAAGGATCTTGTCTGAATATTTGCAATTTTGCCGTTTTGTATAGTTCAGTAGATGTATTGGGAAAGTCAGCCAATGATTATGTATTTACACAAATTTTAAGATCCAATTTTTGCAAAACAGTGCACAATTATAGTCCCGGTAGAATTAGAAGTCGACCTAGTTTCATAAAACGCGTTTGTTCATGAAAACGCGTTTTGAAGTTTTGTTTAATTTGTCCGGATAATCTCTGTAGGTTTCGAAGCTTTTATCTGCTGCCTGCCTTTTTCCTGCTGGACGTAGAGTGTATCAGTCACAATCAGTCAGTTTTCAGTTCTTTAAGTTGCGTGGGCGTTTTTCTGTTCTTGTTTTCACGTTCAACTTAATATGTTGAGGAATTTTGATTTTTAAGCTTTTTTCTCTGCGCTCCTCGTCATATTAGAAAACTTTTCATTTTCGTCTTTGGTTATTGTGGATGGTATCAATTTCTTGTTCAGATTTTAATAGTATCACTTTTCGACAGGAGTGTCCTTGTGGATAATCAACGAATTTTTTCCATTTTTTTTGTATTTGAATTCAGGTTTGACTGTCTGGTGCCATATTTACACTTGCGAAAGCAAGTGTCTTGTAATCGGGAGCAGTATTTTTTCTCGTTAACAAATTTTCTTACTTTCATCTTGCTTTATAAGTGAATTTTTACAAATTCCAGGTTTCTTCGCATTTTGCCTGGAGGAAAAATCGTTGCTTTTGCACCCCAAGTTCCGGGCTTTTCAGTAAGTATGCAATTGTCGGACTTTCGTTTTTCTTGTTCAAGTTTTGCCGCCTTAGTTGGCACATCACGGATATTCTTGTACTGTAAGCAAGTATCATGGTAGTTGCAAGTGTTGTTCATTGTAGTTTTAGGGGAACTCGAAAGTTAAGTTTGCCAATTTAAAATTCATGTGTCATATTTCAGATGTTTGCCTCTTGTTTGATACAAACAGGTAGTATGAAATTAAATGAGGTTAGTACTAGTTTTTTAAATTTCTTTTTTGATAGGTTTCGGAATGTTTTTTTTTTCTTTTTTTTTGCACGAGTTGTTGTTATTCTCGGCAACTTCTACCGATTTAAAAAAACGGGGTATCAATGGAAAGAACGCCTATCCCATATATGAATGTATACTCTTCTAGTCTTTTTTTTTACTTCAACCCTGTGTCTACAGCCTTCGAAAAAAATCTTAAGGGGGAATATTTTACTCATGTTTTTGATTTGATTTTTCGTTTTTTACAAAGTACCCTCTCAATTTGAGGGATCGCAAGTTGTGCGAAGCTCTGCTTCGCCTCTGTGTTTTGTAATCGATTTTGTCTGTCAGTATAGTTTCTCATAATCGTTTTAATTGAAAATTTTAACAAGTTCTATAGAGGAGATTCGTTTGAACCTTTTACCCTTGCGATAATCAAAGGTATTGCAATCGGGTTCTAGACTTTTTTCCCGTAAAAAACTTTGTTCACAGAATAGTCAAAATTAGAAATGGTATTTTTGGGTTGAGTTTGTTGTAAATTAAAATGCTTGGCATATCTGGTACCCTTGGTCTGGAGGTAACGAATACGCCTCGGTCCTCGAATCCGGCAGGACCGGTTTTTCATATAAGAATAATTCTGTTTAAAAAAAATGTCGGCATATTATTAGACTGCTTATTGTTTTTCGTCTTATTTGCCATATCAAAGAATTTTTTTCGTTTTGGTAAACGCATTTTTTTTTGGTTTTAGTTTCTGTTTGTGTTTTGATTTGCTTCTGCTGTTTGTAATTTCTTGACTTTGTATATTTTCTTTGTTTTTCGCTGAAAAATTGTCCCAGCCCAAATGAGTTCGGCTTATATTTTATTGGCTTAGTGACTTAATTTTCAGTAGCTTCAAGTGAACCGTGTTTTATGCTCTCCTCTGGATCGCAAGAATTGCTAAAATATTAGAGTTTTAAGTTAAATTTTTCGTGGCAAAATTTTTTTTCGGCTTCTTTTCCTTTTCGGCTCGATTGGTCTCGGCCTATATTATATTGGCTTTATGGCCTCATATTGCGTCTTTCGACGAGCGAAAAAAAGTTACGTGCGCGTGTGTATTTTGAGGCTGAGGGGGACTTAATAATTTTTATTAGTCTCAATTTTGTTTCCGGCTTTTGATCTCCGTTTTCTGTCGGCCTAATAGGTTTCGGCTTATATTATATCGGCTTAGTGGCCTCTTATTGTTGACGAGCAAATAAAGTTTTGTGTTTATGTGTGTTTTTAGGGCGAGCGGGACTTGTTATCTTTTTATCAGTCTTGTGTTGTCTAAAGTCTTGCTTCGCCTCTGTGTTGAAAACTTCCGTCCGCTATATGGAAAACTTTTGAATTTTTTTTTATCTGAAATGGTTGCAGAGAAAACATAGAAGCATGGAGATATATTTTTTTTTCACATCGTTTGCTTAAAGCAAAGTCCCAACTTGATCGATGGCTATTTCCTTCATTGTTTTTTTATCCGACCAGTCCCAGAAAGACAATAATATGCAGTTTTCTCAGAAAACAGTTATAATTCTTATTGTGTTCCGTAGTTCACTAGATTTTTGTGAACTGTCTTCTGTAGCACAGGCATTTTCTGCAATAGTTATTAAATGTCTTATGAGATTGTTTATAATTCAGGAGTAGAAAAGATATGTTGTTTGATAGTTCTGACTTTTTACTCTGTTTCAGAACACTATCGCACACCCGCCTATAGATGTCTTCAGAACACAGCAGAGAATAATACTGAAACCACCTAATTCAAACGACTTGTACGTGAGACGACTGAAAAAAGCCCACAAAGAAGTCGAGAATCAGTCAATCAAGGAAGAACACGATGAAGTCGATAGCCTTTCATGACTATTGAAGTGTTAATATACTGTTGCCTGCTACTTTTTTTGCCAAAGTATTGAAGTGCTAATATACTTTTGCCAGCTACTTTTTTGGCCAAAGTCAAAATGCATTATCGTGTTGATATTCTTTTTGTGAGCTAGCTTGGTGATGAAATATTTGCATGGTTGAATTTAATGTCATTTTAGCGCTTTACTGTAAGAGAGATCAATAATGTTTTTTGATGAACAGCCATAAAGGTTTTGAAATTTAGTGCGATCGATTCAGACGCTAAAATTTTGCTCTAGCGCTAAATTATAATATGATTCACATGTTAGAATATAAATAGCTTTGTGGTAGTTACTGAATTTGTACGAAGCAATATAAATGTTGCATTTTTGATAGTAAATTTGCCTGAATTTGTAAATTTAGCTTTAATGCATCATAGGTTAATTCATATCATCTGCGAAGTTTTAATACCGTTAAATTAAGTTCTGTTTTACTAATTTGGTTTTTGTAATCAACAGGTTAGAGATTGACCAAATCTTAATTAGATCGAGTCGAGCACGTTTGAGTCACTAAAATTAAGACGAATACTGCCGATCCATATTTAAGTGGTAATCCGATTATCGTAATAAGGATTTTATCTCGAAGTATTTTTTAACTTGAAAGTTGATTTTTATTTAAAGTTCTGTAGTTAGTAATTGTCGCTTTTGTCCCTGTTTTAGCACCCGAGGTCATCAAGAGTAAAGGGACTGACACACATTCCTACGACAAGTCATGTGACTGCTGGTCTCTTGGAGTCATCATTTACATTCTGTGAGTATAAAGAAAGCTTAGTTGTGCCCTCCTTGTAGCATAAGGTCAAATGTTTACTTGCTTCATTCCAGCTTCAGAGTACTCGGCGTTTTGTGGCATGCGAAGAAACCAGCACGAAACAATTAATTATCCTGAAGCTTTGCTATGATATTTTTATGTAGGCAAAAAGAAGGACATATCGCTAGTTTTTAGAGAGTATATTTTGTCAAAAATGGAATTTATTTCTTCAAACAGAGACAGAGAATATTTCGAAAGAAGAAGGAAATTGTAAATGAAGCTGTTTTTATGAACACGCCGCATATTCCGTTAGAGTTGAGTGCCTTGTTCAGTGCTGCTTTTTTCTATGATCAATTATTCGCATTTGTTCTTAGACTGTGTGGGTATCCGCCATTCTATAGCAGACGTGGGATGGCCATGTCGCCTGGCATGCGGGACCACATCGTCAAAGGAGACTTCCAATTCCCGCCCAGAGAGTGGACCAGAGTGTCCAAAGAGGCAAAAGAGCTGGTCCAGAGACTGCTAGTAGTGGATCCTAAGAAGAGAGCCACGATTGATAATCTGATGAAGGATCCTTGGATCTTATCTAACAGGAAGTTACCTGAGGTCCCTCTGGGTTCGACAGATGTGCTGGCTTCGGAGAAACCGAATTGGGAGGAGATGAGGGTATTTATAGAGACCATTGTATTTTTTCATCAGAGTTATTTTCTGCACTCTTCCATGCTCGATAGTTATACTGTCATATTTTTAAATTATAGTTGACTATTTTGAGATATTCGTTATAACAAGGAGAGAGTCATTAAAATAAGCTTAATTATTTTTAAAATATCTGTGTACAAAATTTGATCATCGTTGATTGCTTTTTAGAGTTAATTAACTGTTTTAGTCAATTGTTCATTCGAAGTCAAATCATTTAAGCTCTACCAATTGACTCGTAACTCTGTAATTAGTTGTTTCTTACTGTTACAGCTTCACTGCATGGTAACTAAATTTTTTGGTTAACTGCACCTCATTTTAATTTAAATTTTATGAAATGGGAAAGTATTCAGATAAATATGCTGGCAATATTGGATACAAGTTTTGATTTTAGCAAGGAATGTCACAACAATTGGAATCGATGCGAAATGACGCTAAGGTCACCCTCAAACCACTGGCCAGGAACGAATTGTTCAAAAAACGCGTCGAGAAGGGCGAGCAATTAGGACCAATCCAGGACACACAGTCGTCGGTAGAGGGACCCTCGACGCCTACGTCTCCAGAACCTGGATCGTCGGCATCGACAGTCGAGGAGTTCTCAGAACCATCTCAGGGAGCCCCATCATCGGCAACAGGAGGCGCGGGAGACAGGGAATCAGGGATGAGTCTTCCAGAGCTGGAACAAAGTAGGAGCTCGATGGATACTTCGACCTCACGTGCAGATTAATTTTCAAAATAAAGGAGCTGCTTAGAATTAGATCAAGAGAGCTGGCAGAAATTTTGGACAAGACGAAGATTGCAAATCATTTTAAAGTAGCTCCAAGCATGAAATTATCAATGAAATGTTTCACAAATATATCGATTTCGCGCAGTTTTGCTATTTTATTACCAAGTTCTAGTATTCACATGTAGATTGACTTTGAAAACAAACTTGAAAATAGTCGCCCAAAACTTCAGGTCATGTACTAAAAATGACAATATTACTTTGAAAGTCGTTATTACTGCAGTTTTTGGCGACAAATAATGGGAAGAAAACTAAGTTTTATCTATCTTACAATCTGTCAGTAGTGTCGTTAAACGAATTTTACCGATAACTTGTTGATCAACTTCGGCAAGTTTTGTCGACGCAATGCAGTTAATGACTATTTGATAATTTTTGAAGATATAATCAAATATTTCGAATTCATTATTTAAAAATTTTATTGAATCTTCAAAACGCCAGTGTCAGGGAATTAATTTGCGTGGAATTCAAATATTAGTGGAATCTGGGCTCTTTTCCAGTTTCCCACCCCCTCGTAAAATTATTTTAAAAGCTGTTCAAAAATTGTGTACACGGCATTATGCATATAAAAGTTGTAAAAATTTGTCCACGCTGACACGTTTTAAAGGAGTTTATTACATGAAAGTCATTTAAAATAGTTTCAGAATAAATCAAAGGGGGGACTGGAAAAGAGCCAGAATCTGGTGTAAAGCTGCCAGCTCCGATTTGAACACGATTTTTTTTGTTAGATAAAAATAATTCCGGCTTACAAAGTTCCGGCTACTAATTTTTAAACTGAGTTTTTAAATTTTTAATTTTTAAAATCGACTACTTACCGGTGTCTAGTAATCAGTCATTTACATTTTTCGGCTGTGATGCTGAGTACGATGTCAGAAAATCTAATCGTTATACTAGAAAAACAACTCAGCTGGGGCGATAAAGCCTGCTACGGTGTGCCCAAATTTCAATCTTAAATATCAACATAAAGTTTTACCTGTTCGTTTTTGATTGATATCAGATCATAATTATACATTCACCACTTTTTAAAAGGTCAAAAACCTGCTTTTCTGGTTAAAGGTAATGAACGTAGTGAAGACTCTTATATATGTCTTGCTGATTTTTTTTTGCAGGAAAAAGTCTAAAATATTGATGCACTTAGGTATAATGCCTTTTTTGAGTTCAACTGAAATTCATCTGCTGAAAGTGACGTAAATAGCACTCTCCAAATATGAAAGTGGAAATGGAACGAAAAAATGTGAACGACTTCTACTTTCGAAAGTGGAATTTAGTTTTTAGGTTTTCAGCGGAAAAAAACTTTACCTGTTCATCCAGTTTTTTCTACTTGTGTTCATGTTATCAAAAAAGTGCCAATCAAAAGTTGTTCGAGAGTTTCAAAGAGCTTAACGGGCATCTAATTTTTCTTCGAAGTTGAAAGTTGAGATTTTTTTAAGAAAGTCAGTGTTTTTTTGTTTACATGCGTTCATTACTCTTTTTCCAATCTTCGTTTGGCTGATTGTTTAGTAAAGGTGGGCTCGATTTACCAACAGCAAAATTTCATTTGCATGAGAGCAAATAAATTTTGTTCACAGCGTGTTCTGCTATAGCCAATACTTGAAAAACGTGTTTTTAGAAAAGGTATTTTATTGCATAATGATCAATTAATTGAGCATGTTTTCGCAAATGCAATTTGTTCCACATCAAAAAAGAACAAAATAATTTAGAAGGGCCTAAGCCAATCATCGTACGGAAAACTATCATGGAAACATTTAAGTTCTCTTGAACTATGTCTTTGCAATACAAGTAACTATTGGCTTTGTCAAAAAATATCAGTTTCTACACTGTCTGTAAACTTTGAATATATTAATACATATCAAATTTCAGGAAGTTTAGTGTGATTTTCCCAACCAACTAGCTAACTAATAAGCAAAAATTATCTGGCTAGTTTTCCTTCGAAAAGGAGCCCTGCAGGTTAAGATTGATATTGGTCGCCATATAGTCATGGTTTTCCAATCCAGCTCGGAAGGTTATTGCAATCGGGTACTAGATCGTTTTGCCGTTAATAAATTTGTTCACAGGATCTCCAATTTTAGAAGATCTCCAGTTTCATTCAAGTTGCAGTTAAAGCAGTTCTAGTTCTAAGTCTAGAGTTACCGTGTCAAGAGTTGGTGAGTTACTGGGCCTACAGCAGAAACAATTTTTTGTAGGCAATATGTAATATATTGCGTGCCACAATTTTTGTACGCTTATTTGCCAGATGTTTATTACACTTGCGATAAGCAAGGGTATTACAATCGGGGAGCTGACTTTTCCCGTAAACAACTTTGTCCACAGGACTCATTGGACTCTTGATGTACCTTGCTTCGTAATGAGTTTAAATTTCGTTGTCTCTTGCAGATTTAGCCTGGTGGTATCGAATACGCCTGGGACGGTAAAGGTCCTGTGTTTCAATCTAACCAGGACCAGTTTTTTAAACGTTAAATATTCCGGTTCAAAAAAATTTGGTCCTATTTTTGTCTGCTTATATTTTGTCGGCTTAGTTGCCACATCTAACAATCGTTTATTTTGGTTGTAAAAAGTTCTGACTACAGTTGCTCTTAGCATTTAAAACATTGGTCGAAATTTGCTTATAAGATTGATTGTAACTTTACCAGCTCGATTTGTTAAAACTTTTTCTTCATTTTTTAAATGTTTTTTTTTGTCGTTTTTATCGGCTCAACAATTTCGGGCTTAATTAATACCAACTAAATGGCCTGTTTTTGCGTCGTTACGACCGAAAAAAGGTTTTTTTTTGCGCGTGTGTGTGCTCTGAGGAGAAAAGGGACTTAGGGTTTTAATAAGTTTAGAATGTTTTTGATTTTTTCGGCATGAAGCTCCGGAATTTTCGGCTTTGTTACCACTTCGTAATTGTAAATTTAAAACCAATCAACCATCTGGCGTAGAGGTTAAAAAACAGCTTTATATGGCGAAGGCTTGCGGTTTGAATCCGCCCGGGCCCTTTTTTGCAAACTAAAGTTTTTCTGCTTTTTCGGACTATCTTCCGACTGTTTGTTCTTGTCGGCTTGGTTCCCGTAGCTCGATGTTTCAGCTTTATTTCAATTTGATGTAATCCCCATGCTTGAAGATAAAGCCCGGGAGTTGGATTGCAGCTGAGATCTTTTTTGCAAGTAGAAAGTTTTGTCTAATTTAGATTGTCTGTCTGATTTTTTGTCTGCTTAGTTCCGCAGGAAAGACTTTTTTTGAAAAGTTACCTTCTTTATAGCTTGGTGATTTTTTTTTGGTTTTTTAAGGAATTAATTTTTTCACACTCAATTTTAATTTTAAGTGGGTTGACTTTTGACTACTGTTTCATTCATTTCTTTAGTTTAATAGAAGGAAACTCCACTATCGAACAACAGAAATGTAAAGTTCACGAAAAACGTGATCGACTTCTTATTTTGAAAATGGGAATTAATTATCAGATTCCAGCAAAATAAAAGTTGTAACTTTCGATACGGTTTTTCAAGTTGGGCTAATTTTATCAAAAAAGTCAATTTTGAATTGTTCTACAATTTTAAAGAGCTATAAGGGCATCTATTGTTTTTTTTTGAAATCCAAAAGTCAGTTGGCTATGTTTTTGTTTGTATACGCGCTTAAACTTTAAGTTTGCAAAAAACTTCAAAGTGTGTTTTGTTAGATTTTTTTCCTTATTTTTTTTAGTTTAGTTTGAATGCACGATTTCTGAATTTTTTTCTGTAAGTGTGTTCAGTTATTTCAAAGCAACTTAGCGTCTTAATTACTTATTAGCATTGTCATTTCAAATCTATTCAAGGTGATGGAACAGCGTAATTTTTTAATGTCTAAAACTTTTCTAATAAAGTTTCCGGAAATTTGGTTGTTTAGTTTGAACCTGACTTTTTTTATTTACGAGGGTATATGGCGGGTGCTGCAGAAGGTTCAAAAGTGTGGTTGTTTCTGGCTGACATATTTTGAAGAAAATATTGTGTTTTTTCATTAACGGGCGCCTTTTTAGTCAATGAATGTTATTCAGACTCTTATATATGCCGCGATGTTTTTTCTTGTTATTATTGGGAAAATATTAAAATTTGTTCAAGCTCAAATGTAGTTTTTCGCGCTATGATTTTTTAAGTTCAGTTTTTTAAGGAAATCAAATTCCACTATCGAACAGCGAATGTGTAGAGGTCACGAATAAGGCCCTGACAATATTGCACTACTCCATTTCCACCTTGACGAAATGGGTCTTTCCTACTTCACAAATCTTATAAATATGTCATTAAAATCGTCAATCATACCGCAGAACTGGAAAATAAGAAAATATTTCCACTCCTTAAACCGGGAAAAACAATAGAGGCGCAAAAAGTTACATCGGATTTTTGTCTCCAAATGCAAAGCTGATTGAAAGAATTTTTTTACTAGAAGAGTTAAATAACATCAAAATTGCCGATCATAAACATGACTTTAGGATTAATAGATCCACGAACACTGCACTTAACTGTTTTGTTACCGATATCAAAAACGGTCTTAACCAACCAAGACCGACACACAGAACGCTATTGGTTGCTCTTGATCTTACTGCAGCTTTCGATCCAGTGGATCACGGTATCTTGCTGCAAGACATCAACATACTTACGTATCCAACAATACTAAAAAATGGATCACGTATTTACAAGGACGCGCTAATTTTGTAGTAGTTAGATAAAAAATCAAAACTTCGACGAATGAAACAAGGGGTTCCTCGAGGAGGAGTATTGTCACCTGTCTTATTTAAAATCTGCATGTCCTCTATGCCTCTCCCATCAGCAAATATTATCAAAAATACCAATCAACTAAACTGATGACATCACTTTTACTACTACATGTCCTGATATCTCAAAATTAAAAATAACCGTCTAACCATATTTAATGGATCTCTACCACTGAATGGAGAAACCAAATCTTAAACTTTCATCGGACAAATCCACAGCAACTGTCCTCACGACTTGGACCAAAGAGGTCAAACAAAAAAAGTAATGTCGTCATGAAGGAGAATGTATTACCCACAAGCAATAAACCCAAAGTCCTGGGCGTAACTTTTGCTAGTCTCTTATTTTTTACGCACCACATCAGGAACATCATGAACAAATTGAAACCGATAAATTACTTACTGAAAAAAACTTTCTGGTACTAACCGGGGATGCACTAAAGAAACATTTCGTATTACTTATGAAGCCATTGGGCGTAGTGTTCCCAATTATGCTGCTCCAGTCTGGTCGCACTCGCTTAGCAACACCAGATGGAATGACCTCCAGATTCGGTAAAGTAATGCTCTAAGAATCGCAACTGGCTGCTTTAAAATGAGCCCCATTGAGCATATTCATTGCAAAACCGAACTCTTGCCAGTCAAAACACACAATTAATTGCTGTGCAAACAATTTTTAATCGGAGCTCACCAACCACACAAAGCTGAATACCACTCCACACACTCAAACTATAAATCCAGAAAATTGAAACTGAGTCTTGCTGAAAATACCATTACGAAATAAAGACACCTCGACGAAGATAAATCTATCTCACCATCAGACTACAAGCTTGCTTTGGAAAACATTCACCGGACGGAATTTAATAAGTATATAATCAGTAACCCTGCGAAACTAACGGGCTCAATGAATCTCCATGTTGCACAGGAAGAAAGTCGCATTCCTCGTCGTACTAGATGCCTTTTTGCTCAACTGCGCTGCGGATATAGCACCCATCTCAACAGCTAGTAATCGAAACTCGATAAAGACACCAATAACATCTGCCTGAACAGTTTTTATAGTCGGCATGACTTACCTCACCTTTTTAACTGTCCGGTCAAACCAACAACACTAACAATAGTCGACCTGTGGTACAAACCTGTCAAACTCGTCAACTGGCTTCAATTATAACATCTGAACAGGAGGGGTTTCGTAGGTTCTCCGCACTATTTGTGAGCATCTGGGTAGGAGGGATTTTGTAGGTTCTCTGCACTAATAATAAACTGACCGCCAGAACCGGGAACGGGAATTTCGCTCGGTTCGCCGTGACAAAACTGCTTCCCTAGAACGGGACTAGAATGAGGCTTTCCCGCTCTTAGCGAACTCTGGGATCGCCACACTCACTGTTTGACTGACGAGACGACGCAACAAATCAATGTCCACAATTACGATTGTGGAGCACTGAAAATAATTGACAAAAGCGAGTTGGGGCTGCAGACTAATCGATGCTTGTGAGCAGCTACTAACAACATCAACATGTCACGATTAACGTGTATTACCAGTATCCAACGAAATAACAGTTTCACTTTTTGATCCGGTTTTTTAAAAATTGGTTTGTTTTTATCAAAAGTGTCGATTAAAAGTTTTTCGACAAATTCAACGAGCCTTAAGGCCATGTTTGATTTCTTAGAAATTCGATCAAAAGTTTTTCCGTTTTTTTCTCGGTTTCCTTGCATTCCTTACTCTTTTCCAAAGGTCTGTTGGCTATGTTTTTGTTTGTATACGCGCTCAAACTTTAAGTTTGCAAAAGTCAAAAGACTTCGAAGTGATTTTTCTTTCGTTTTTTTCCTTACTTTTTAGTTTCGTTCGAATGCACGGTTTCTGAATTTTTGTTCTGAAAATGTGTGCAGGCATTTCAAAGCAACTCAGCGTCAGAATTTTTTATGAGCATTGTCCATTCAAATCGTTCCAAGGTGACGAATTAGCGTAATATTTTTTTGTTCAACATTTTTCTAAATAAGTTTCCGGAAAGTTTGTTTTGCAATTTTGACTTGACTGTTTTATTTACGAGGGTATATGGTGGGTGCTGCACAAGATTCAAAAGTGTGGTGGTTTCTGGCTGACATGTTTTGATAAAAATATTGTGTTTTTTCGTTAATGTATTAATGGGAGCCTTTTAAAGAGTCAATGAATGTAGTTTAGACTCTTGTATAGGTCCCGATGACTTTTTTTTTTTCGTTTTTTTTCAGGAAAAGTCGTGAAGTTTGTTCAGGCTCAAATTTAATTTTCGTGGTATGATTTCTTTAATGTTCAGTTTTTTTCCTTTGATAAAAGGAAGGCAAACTTCACTATCGAACAAAAAAATTGTAAAGGTCAAGAAAAACGTTATCATTCTAGTTTCGAAGTAGAATTTAATTTTCAGATTTCTCAGCCAAATATAAAACTTACCTATCGATCCAATTTTTTCAAATTCAGTTGATTAAAAAAAGTGTCAATCATATATGGTTCTTGAAAATCAAAGGGCTTTAAGGTCATCTATTGTTTTCTTTGAAATCCGAAAGTTTTTTTCATAAAAACAAGTCAGTATTTTTTCGGTTTTCTTGCGTTCATTGGCTCTTTTCCAACTATGTTAGGTATATTTTCAAATAAAAGTTGTTTTGTTGTGGCTCAGCTTTCATACCGTTTCGTTTTATCTTCAAAGTTTGAAAAGATGGATGTAACTGATTAATTCCACAGGTTTTCAGATTTTTATAGATTTTCTGCAAATCTTTTAATGGTAATTGTTTAAAATATTTTCTTGGTTTATACCAAGCAAAAGAATATGCTTTTTGAGACCTGCGATTGTTCTTGATGTATATGCAGTTTGTTTGGTTCCGAGATTTTCTGCTAAGTTTCTATTTTTGAAATTTTCGGATCATTGTTTTTGGACCGAACCCTCGCATTTTTCTTATCCTTTCCATCTAGTAGTTTTCAGGAAGAAATGATTGGAGTTAATATGTCGCAGTGATTTTGTGTTTTAGGTTGTTGATTGTTATAGGAATTGTTATAAATTGTCAGCCGTCAATTTCTTCAACATAATTCGTTTAATTATATCTTTTCCCCTGCGAGCCAGATTATCTTGCTAGTTTTGCGTTTAATTTTGTATGGTAAGTGGCGCGGAGCTCTGATGCACTTGTGTTTAATATTCAAATATCTTCCTTTGCACGTTTGACTAGAATCAGGGGCGGATCTAGGATTTTCTCGAGGGGGGGGGGGGCGCAGATTTTCAAAAAATTTAAAATTTTCCAAAGTTTTGACGACCTTTTTTTTAGGTCGACCAAATTGATTTTTCGAGCTCTCCCAAAGCACTGTTTTGCCCCTATTTTGGCAAAGTTTTCTGCGCCGCAGGCAAATTTTTGAAAAAACAGTCGAAAAAGCCGTTTTTGAGCACTTAGTGAAAAATTTTGACAAAAAAATCGCGTTTTTTTTGGCGCGCGCTCCCCCTCAAAGGCGCCTTAGAAAAATCAAAGGCGCGCGCTCCCCCTAAAAGGCGCCTTTAGAAAAATTTTAGGGTCGGTCGGCCAAAAATGGATTTCTGAAAAAGTATCAAAGGGGGGACCCTTTGGGTCGGCAGGGGGTCGAATCCCTGAAAGGGGAGCGTCCGCCCCCCCCGAAATCCGCCCCTGCCTAGAATGATCTTTTATCGAGACTCACGAAAATTTTGGTAGACCTATTTCTTTGTTCAACATTTTTTTCTTTTTTTTCGTTATGTTTTTTTATGTTTGTTGTATCGGGAATGGTGCGAATCTCCGCTTCGCCTGTGTAGAAAATTTCTTCCAGCATGGAGAAAGATCGATCTAAGTTTTGACTGTTGAGACTAATTGGCTATTAGCGTAGCGGATGATAATGTTTTAAAATTCCACTTGCTACCAATCAGTGAGCGCTCCCTGTTAAGAGAGCCCGAGTCTGAATGAGCGTTTACGAAAGATCTGTTTCGAGTGACGTTTTCACAACAAGTCTCAAAACTTGCATACGCTCTTAGATTTTGTCTATATATGTGTGATCAAGCTACTGTACGTAATACGTAAAATTCATACGTAAAAAGGAGGGTATAGATAAAAGGAACGCATGTCTAATGAGAATCTACATATGGTTTGTTTATCAACAATAATTAACAACAACAATTAGCAAAGAGGAAATTTTATACTTTATACTAAATTTCCGAAAAAAAAACGATTGCTCAAAAAATCAGGATTTAGAATTTCATATTTTGAGCCGGATAGGCAACTCAGAATCATGGTCAATTAGCTGTTAAGTAATGGCTTTGAGATAAATAGGAAGAAGAAATTTGCAAGTAGAAACATAGTATCTGTTCTGTTTTTTATGTGGCTAGTGTTTGAATTGCTAAGCGTCTGTGGCTGAGTGTTTAATGCGTGAGACTCATAATCTCTAGGTCTCAGGATCGAATTCGACGCGTAGACGAAATTTCACCAATTCGACGCGTATTTCTTCTTTCTCTTATCTCAATTTGTAGAGCTTCTTTTTTGTTTTCTCGATGGTGTTTTCGAAGTGCAGCTTCGCCTCTGCTTAAAACTTTTTTCTGATAATTCAGTTTTTTAATCGAATTATCGGAAGAGAATAGCGCATTCAGAAAATTTTTTGATGGAAGGCTTGATATCGATCTCAGTAAATTGCAGATCTATCTATATCGATCTCGTATATATACAGTTGATGTATTGTAAATAATTTTTGCTCGGAAAATTTGTCTGAAACGCTTTCGTACTTTTTTGCCAAAATAATACATGCAGAGAGCAAAGCGGATACAAAGCATCGTAAATTTTGCGACCATATACTAAAATTCTTTACTGGACAAATGACGTAATATTTGATCCATAATAAGTAAGCATAAGAGAGATAGGCATATAATGTATTTTCTTGGCTTTTGTTTCATTTTATTTTATTGATTTATTTCGTTCATAATCAATATCGTTAAAAAATCAGAATGACTGAAATTTGATCATCTCCGTCTTTGCTTATGTCTGCAATTTGAACTTTGCTTCGATTCAACCTTGCGATAAGCAAGGGCATTGTTAAAATTTGTTTCATGCTGCTTGAAAATTTACCCATTCCGACTTCAGTACATAATTTTTTCGTTCTTGTTTGTTTTTCGGCATGAAAAGTTTCAGTCTATAATATATCGGATTAGAGGCTTTTTTTGAGTCTTTTGAGGAGGAAAAAGACTATCTAAATGTTGGCAAAATTGTAGCAAAAATTTTGGTAGATGGATTGTTTTCGATATTGTTTTGAAAGTTACTATTTATTTCTATAGTCATCATTTTTGTTTCTGTTAGTTTGTTTGTCACGCAAGTAATTTTACTAAATATATTAAAGTCATCTAGCCTTGTCGAAACTTTTTTTGCGATCATTTAAAAGTTAGATTTCATTTGCAGTCCTCGAATTGAGGTATATTAGAGCTAGGGTCTGTGATGTTAAGTACTACTGGAGATGAAGATATGTTTTGTAGCAAATTATCTACAATTTGCGCAACGAAATTTTAAAACTACTTGCAATTGTAAATGAGTCAAAATGCCTCTCACCGTTTTCAGCAATGATATCACTGACTGCATTGCTGTTTATTTTCATCCTTTGATCAAATTTAAAATTTTTGTCTTTTTCTGGAATCACCTATACACGCTTTAATTTTCGTCATACAATAACTCTGATTCGATTGCCTGATTTCGTCTTTTTGAAGCTTATCTTAAGTCGAGAAACCGTTGTTTCAAAGATTCATTTCATTCAATTCGAATAATTTGCTTATTTTGAACTCTTGCTTATATCTATTTGATGAGGATTTTTTATTCTATTGGAGTGAGTTGGTTGATTTTTTTCTCTTTTGAATAAATGGAGCAAAC